CCTGCTCCTCTGATGCTGCTTGGCCTGCTGTGTTCATCCAGCTCCACACCTTGTTATCTCTTATAACCAATGTCCTGTACAGCTGCAACATGATCTCCCAACACCTACACTCAATGCACTGACCAATAAAGACAAGCATACCAAACACCTTCTTCACCGCCCTGTCTACCTGTGACTCCACTTTCAAGAAACTATGAACCTGCACTCCAAGGCCTCTGTTGAGCCTCATTCTGCAGGGCCTTACCATTGAGTGTATACATCCTGCCCTGATTTGCCTTTCCAAAATGCAGCACCTCACCTTTAGAGAAGAAGTGAAAGCCTTTCTCTCAGACAGTGATGAGTCTTTAGAGATTTCCTCCTGTAACGGTGATGGTAGCAGCCTCCTGGATTAGACTTTGGGCAGACAGAGGTGGAGAGATCCTGCTTCAGCAAGGGGAAGGGGTAGGGTGAGAGGTTATCAGGAAGAGATGGGACGATGGATTTGAGGTTACAATTAAATCAGCTAGGATCTTAGAAAATGGGCTGAATGGTCTCATGCTCATTCCTTGTGTTGCTGGGTTTCAATCTTTGATAGACAATCTGTGGAGACATGGGGAATTGTGTCCTGAGGAATGTGGCATTCAGCTGATGCTGTTTCATTGTTTACTTTTCACCCAGAACTGAGGATGAGATCGAATTTTTTGAAACAAGTTGAGTTGCACTATGGAGCCAGACCCAAGGCCATGTTTGGTAACTATCAGCAGGACCTGCAGAGCATCAACAACTGGGTGAAGTCACGTACCAGTGGCCTGATAACACGTGCCATCAGCTCAGTCCCTGAGGACGTCAGCCTGTTCCTACTCAGTGCAGCCCATTACAAAGGTAAAGCCAGGAGCAGAGAGCTCTCTACGCAGCCAGCTCCCAACATAAATGAAAACCAAAAGAACTGCGGATGCTGTAAATCAGGAACAAAAACAAAGTTGCTGGAAAAGCTCAGCAGGTCTGGCAGCATCTGTGGAGGAGAAAACAGAGTTAACGTTTCGGGTCTGGTGACCTTTGCTCAGAACTCAGGAGGAAGGGTCACTGGACCCAAAATGTTAATTCTGTTTTCTCCACCACAGATGCTGCCAGACCTGCTGAGCTTTTCCA